ACAATTTTGAAGGAAATATATTAGCAGAAACAGATTTTTGACAAAACAAAATATTACCAGCAATAAAAAATATTGTCAGCATTAAATAATTTATTGAGGTTGATATGCTGTAAAACAAAACAAACCAAACCAATCTAAACCAAAGAATACATATTCTATTCATACGAATCTATCCTAAAAATGTTGTCGGCATTAAATAACCCATTGAGGTTGATATGCTGTAAAACAAAATAAACCAAACCAATCTAAACCAAAGAATACATATTCTATTCATAAGAATTTATCCTAAAAATGTTGTCGGCATTAAATAACCCATTTAAAACAAAAGATAAACCAAACCAAACCTCATGTGGTCTTTTTTAAAATGATGTCTTCTTTTTTTCCATATATTGTGACCATTTTGTTTAAAGTTTTTTTTTTTTCAGATGAAAACTAGAGAAACTTTACAATCTCCTTCGGTGGCATTTTCGCATTCCAAAACTATAGTTCATAATGTTATTTCTCTGTATATATTTGAACTGTTGTCCTCATTCATTGTCAAGTCGAGTCTGTAGCGATTCAATAATTTTTGTCTGCATTTCTGTGATACAGAGTTATCATTATTTACACAATTCAGATAAATAAATCATAATTAATTATAGTTTAGATATAGGAAAAAAAAGGAGAAAGTTTCATTTATAAATAACGTCGACAGGTAAAAATGTGGACGCATAAATAGAAAAATATTATTTACAATGTATTTATAACATCGGTATATTTTGAAAAATATCTTCCTGGTATCACTTTCTGCTAATGCCGAATTTTCCCCCCAAATATTGTAACCTGTTTCTTAAGATTTATATTTCTCGATTCCAGGCGACAATCTGGAAAATTTCCAATATATTTCAGTGAAACTTTCGCTTTCCAAAATGATGGTTTAAAATAATAATTTACATAAATAGGAATAAAAAAGAAAGTCCGTTTAAAAGGAAAGAAAGAAAGAAAGAAAGAAAGAAAGAAAGAAGCAAAAATATTTAAATGACGAAGCCATAAACTCTTAACGTCAGTTTGAACAGACTACTTCTTTTTTACCAAAATATTATGATCATTTCTCAAAGTTTGTATTTATTTTTTACTTCAGATGCAAATTTTAAAACATTTCAACATATTTCAGTGAAAATTCACACTTCCCAGAATTATAGCTTATATTTATATTGTTCATATATATAAGACAAACTAGTGCTAGGAAAAATATACGCTCTGTTTAGTAAGTAAATTTGCAGCCATTGTTGTATTTAATTCTGATCTATTCAAGCAATGTGATAATGCCACTAAGACGCCAGGGATTACTCATGATATTTATTTCTGATGATACAGAAATTTTGGCACATGACCAAAGATCGGGTAAAAAGGTGGAGACTGGTCATCATTAGCTATCCTAATCCTTGTTAATCCGAATCACGACTCATTCATTACAATTTACTCATTCACCACAAGAACTTATCCATCACCTCTCAATCCTACGTACACCAAAATACAACATATTCACAGGAGACCTATAAAGAAACCCATGACATAAAAATCCTAAAGTTCATAAAATTCAAAAATATATAAAAATTTCATCTTACATGAAATGATGGGGTGGGGAATGAACCCAGAAAACAAACTAAAAATATAACACAAAGATAAAACTAAAAGGAAAAAAATGTTAGTAGGACACAACCACCCCTCAAAATAATAAGGGTGGCCGCTGTATTCTGCCGATAGAAAGAATCAAGCAGCACACTCACTAGTGGAATGTGGAGGGTCAAAATAAATGCCGGAATCGAAAAAATCAAAGGCTGACTCAGATGAGATGAAAAAAGGGGACGAAAACAAACTAGGAAGATTGGGAATCTCGACATAGATCATAACTGAAGAAAATGCCGGGAACAGGCCAGCAATAACACTTATTCGCATTAACTAGGAAAACGAAATAGTGTCTAACTTAACCTGGGAGTCCTCAGGAAGCCACTCTGTTACAATAAGGGGACTTAAAAGAGAAAATCAAAGTTAGCCCCGTCCACAGGAACCAGGCTCGCCTCAGTCACCCACCTTTCGCTGAAATCTGTCGAAATCAAACTCTTTCGATCAGATTTGATTTTCACCCTAAGCTGATGCTTAAAGAAAATAACCAAATCCTAATATGAATAACGTTCATTCCACAAGATTCCCTCCTTTCGCGTCGTCCACACCACCATTCTTGCCACGGGTAGCAACGCAATAAAGACCATCCGTTTTACTCCGGAGAACGGGAGCGACACATTATCACACGCGTACGTGAGATCGATGGAAACAAGCTGACTGGGAGCGATACGAGTCGTGAAATCGCCGACATAATCCCTGAAAGGGCGAAGCCTTTTCTTCTAATCTAAGTTTACATTGATAACAGGCTCGCCAGGGATTACTCAAAGTGAAACTTGATGAACTGTTTAAACAGCACTCTCTCTTAATGGGCCTACGATTAATCATTACTATGATTGTTGACTCTCTGCCACTTGACCTCATGTATGACCCACGTTATAATCGGCCTGGTTCCACATCCCACCATGTGCAGAGGTCTTTACGATTGATCGTTACTATTCTTGTCGACGCTCTTCTTTCGGGCGGAGATGATCTCAGACGAGACTATGCCCACAGACAGACTCTCGTCTGGAGAGGTAGCCAGCTACCTAACCCTGTGTATGCGGGAGTCTACGAGGAATTGTTGCCTGAGCGCACGCGCTTGGAAAGTCCCACTTTAAAAACCGGCCTTGTGCCACATCCCGCATTGTGAGGAGGTCTCGAGTAATTACCAAGGAGTTAATGATTAACTGTTTATTAGGTTAGTCTCTGTTCTCAACTGTGGACCATATTATTCTCCGGAATATAAACTACTATTTATTTTCTATATGTGTGTCAACCTTTCCTATCTACGACACAAGAACCATACCAGATATGGCAGCAATATTCAACGCACGGAAAAATGGCAGTAAATGTCCAGGAAGGATTCTGCCTTGAAAAATACTCCAAATTGTGAAACATTGTCTGAAAAAGAAACCCACTTACTTAGAAGAAGCAATTGATACAATATAATCACTCCCACGTCCTCGGTAAGACGATAAACTACATCCGACAGCAAGGCCTCTGGTCAGGAGGTGTAACGCGACCCTTGTCCCGAGATGGTAGCACCTGTTAGGATCCCAACTACGGAGATATAGTTAACCCCTAAACTGGGATCAAAACACCATGGAAGTGTAAAAATAGTTTTAATGCCAGAAATATTTTTTGTAAAAAATTATTACGAGAAATACATTATTACCAGCAATTCATTTTGAAATAGAATATTACAAGCTATACATTTTTTGAAAAAATATATTAGCTGCAATAAATTTTTTAACAAAAATATTACAAGCAATAAATTTTTGAAAAGAAAAAATATTACCAGTAATACATTTTTAGAAAAAAAATATTACCAGCAATTAAAATTGTGTCGGCATTAAATAACCTATTGAGGGTGATATACCGTAAAACAAAATAAACCAAACCAAACCATAATCACTCCACTTCATGTCATTGGAAAATGTGAGATAAGGAACGTGAAATGAGTTTTTCTCCTGGAGGTTAGCATCAGCCATACTGATAAGTAGAAATGGTCGATGGCGACAACTCACCTTAAGAATGGTTTACTTGCTTGCCTAAAAAAAAAACCTTTTCTGTTGCCATATGTCATTAAGACAACTCAGTCGCTCAGTGTAGCGTTGCACAATAAGAGTTTTTTTTTTTCTAGTAATTATTAATAAGGAAGCCCTTTTAATATCGATCAAACATGGAGAGGAATGTTTTTCACCAGTGTATCTTCTTTAACGGGAATAATTTAATATTCTGGTTCCAAGCGAAATTCTTTGTGAATTAAGTGTCACATATGGTACATTCTCATTCAGTGTCGTTTCACTGCCGCTTCGATGACCACAAAGGTGAGTGTCTATTCATGCACAAACAGTGAGACCTCCTCTGATTACTAGTTGACTTGCATGAAGGCAGTATAACTAAAGTATGACGTACTTCTCATATGCAAGATTAAAAAGAGGTATTTTTATGTTTGCATAAAAAGATAAAACGAACAACTAACAAGCAAAAACAGGAGAGATGAGACGAGAGGAACAATTAAAGTATGAACATTTCTAAATTTAAGAACAAAAGTAAGCAAATCCATATGCATGAAGGATTGGTACGACTCTCGGCCTTTCATGAAGAGATTTACATTTTGTCGATATGGAAATCTGCCATTAAAGGTTGGCAACTATAATGAAAGAGACAAAAGATCAAAGTTAAGGAGGTTTACCTCACGGAAACTGTATGGATAAAATATGGTCTTGAATAATGAAAATTAATTTTACATGGCGAAGCAACAAAAAGGAAATGTAAAACAAATTGAAAGGAAAACTTTTTGAATAGGTTATTTGAAAGTAGAATAGGAAAATGCAAAAGACGAAAAGTAGGCTGATCCGAAAAATTCCGCAGATTCAAAACTATCTGCATATTAATTACATAGATTCAAAGACAGATTGTATATTAATTACATAGATTCAAAGATAAATTGTATATTAATTACATAGATTCAAAGACAAATTGTATATTAATTACATAGCTTCAAAGACAAATTGTATATTAATTACATAGATTCAAAGACAGTCTCTATATTACTGACATAGAATCAAAAAGATTTGTTTTTGTTTAGCGACATATCAACTTCTACGATTATTTAATGCTGAAATCTAAATATTTTGTACGCAATTTTATTTTATTTTTGGAGATAGTAATGTTTTACTGATATACGTTTTACTAATTAACACATACATGAGGGAGAAGTGTTGGATTCATACCATTCTCAAGAATATTTGCATCTAGGTCAATATAATGAACCCAACTGGAATTGGAACTCGGCTCTCCGGTTAGCAATTCCGAGCCGTTATCCATTACACCACCCGCACGTCGAAGCTTATAGCACCTGGTGTTCCCAAATGGTCACCCATCTAGGTACTGACCAGGCTGTACGTTGCTTAAATTCAGTGATCGAACAGGTGTTTCAACGTAATATGGCCTAAGAGGGCCTGGGATGCATAGCAAAAATAGAAAAGTTATTAAGAGTTAAAAACAATAGGACGCTGGGGCTTATGGAAGACGAAAAAGATACTAATTTTTATCACTAACGTACTCATTCTTATTTCATAGGTATATATTGGAATCAGCGGTACTTCAATATCGATCAAAATTTCCTTGTCTAATAGAAAAGTACCTGACATTTCATGCCGCTAAGCGGGAAATACTCGTTCAAAATCGTAATGATTTGGAGATACAAGACTACACGACTAAGTATTTAACCCATAGCTGGGGGAATGGAGGGGTTCATTTTTTTTTTTTTTTTTTCATATTTGCACGTAACTGAATATAACGAACTCAGCATGAACTGGAATTCGATTCCCTGATTAATAATTCCGAGCCATTATCCATTAAACCAAATGCACATCTGGTATTTCCAAGCGGTCACCCGTCAAAGGTCGACGTTACTTAATTTCGCATATACTACGGGAACAGAAGTTTCAACGTGGCCGTAAGCAGTATCAAAGAGAGATGGTATATTAATTACATAGATTCAAAGCAGGCTGTATATTAATTACATGGAGTCAAAAAAACAGAGTGTATATTACTTCAAAATGGACTGTATATCAATTATACGGAATCAAAGACAGATTGTCTATTACTTACACACCTCTGTAAAGGTAAATTTATTAAACATTTCTTTGCTTTTCAGTTACTTGTGGACACAACGATTCAAAGATGTACCCTACATTAATTACACAGAATCAATAACGGACTGTATATTAGAATCAAAGACAAACAGTATATTAATAACATAGAATAAAAACAAACTGTATATTAATGAAAAAGATTCAAAGACAAACTCTATATTAATTATTTTGATTCCTAGACAGACTATGTTAATTAAATAGAATCAAAGAGAGACTGCATGTTAATTACATAAAATCAAAAACGGACTGTATATTAATTACAAAGTTTCAAAGCAGACTGTATATTAATTACACACCTCTTTTAATATATTTTATTGTTATACGTTATTTATATAGACAAAATTATTTAAGTAAATGCTCTGTTTATAATAAACAGTAATAACAACATTTTCCGGCCTGAACGTCCGAGAAATTTTCATAGAAAATATGTGTCCTCCGACAGGAATTGAAAACGTCTTCTCTCTTCGAATTCCAAATATATTTTATTGTAATATGTTATTTATATTTACACAAATATTTAAGTAAATTGTCGGACTTAATCCATTTTATAATATACTAGCAGCATGGCCCGGCCTTGCCCGTGCTTGATTAAAAAATCATACGACACAAACACCAATCGCTATCACTTGACTTAAAATATTTTTGCCCTTCCTTGCCTTTAAAGGAGTGCCTTTTTCTGTGCTGATGTTGCTACATGCCTTACTTCTTGCCTATCTCACATTGCGATTTTTTTTCTAAGCTCTATACTAAACATTAAATCTGTCAGGTGTAACTGGTAGGATTAAAGATTGAAGATCGTCATAAATTTTCCATGAAAATGGCGAGTGAGTAACTATAGGCATGCAGCGTTTCACCTGTGGAAGAGGTGGTGTAGGATAGAAATTAATTCATCACCCACAATTCTGCATATACATTTTTTTTTAAATTCTATCATAGCTGGAAAGCGAGGATTGGGCAGTTCCATTCCAGTTTTTATATGGACATCATTATGTTTATTAAAATACTAGCAGCATGGCCCGGCGTTGCCCGTGCTTGATTCAAAAATCGTACGACTCATACAGCAATCGCTATCACTTGACTTAAAATATTCTTGCCCTTCCTTGCCTTTAAAGGAGTGCCCTTTGCCGTACTGATGTTGCTACATGCCTTACTTCTTGCCTATCTCACACTGCGAATTTTTTCTAAGCTCTATACTAAACATTAAATCTGTTACGAAAAAAGAACTAAACAAAATGAACACAAAACGATCAGCTTTAAAAAAGGACTCGTAACTGGAAAAACGAATGAAAAAAGAATGTTTACAACAAATACTTTTTCACACCCAACCCAGTTCTGCAGAATCAGTATCAACGTTGAGTTTAAGCAAGCGAATGAGCCAGTTGGAGTAAAGTGCCATGCAGATTTGAATTTTTCCCACTTGTGACAAATGCAGCTATCGATTTTTTGTGCATGCTAATTAACATTCGTAGCAGTCAGCTGTTGACTCTCACGCTGGCCAACATGATCGCCTATACGTGTATCTAGTATATCATTTAAACGACAGAAAAGAGAAAAACGATTGTAAGAATTTAGTAGGTGCAACGCGGTAAAAGCTTGAAGAAAGGAATAACGACAATTGTAAAAAACACTGGATGTATGATCAATCATGTCTCTTCGATTCATGACATACGAGGCGAAAGATGTTTCCGCTACCTTTCTTTCTGCAGTTGACTTCTTGTCATCAAGGGGTATAGGACCCAATCTGTCCTGCTACTCAACCCAGGCATAGGCAATTATGCCTCTGTCGATTCATAACTGTAAAGGCAGAAGATTTTTCCGCAATAAGCTGCTTTTATTTCTGCGGTTGCCATCCATAATATCCTCCACTTGCTGAAAACGATACATTCTGTCTTCCTCGGCTTAGTCCATTCTTTTCGCTTTTTTTTACTTAACCTCTTCATCCTGCTAAATACCATATAATCTGTTTTCTTAAAATTGATGTTTAATCCTTTCTTATTGCTTTCCTTTACTTGGCCTCTTCCTCCTGCTGACAACCATACATTCAGTACAACTGATGTTTAGTCCTTTCTTCTCTCTTTCCCTTACTTGGTCTCTTCCTCTTGATAACAAACACACATTCTGTCTTCATAAAATTGATGTTTCTTTCTCCTCGCTTTAGTTTAGTTGGCCTCTTCCACTTGCTGACAATCATACGTTCTGTTTTGTTACGATTGATGTTTATTCCTTTCTTCTCGCTTTCCTTTACTTGGCCTCTTCCTCTTGCTGGCAACCATACACTCTGTCTTCTTACAATTGATGTTTAGTCCTTTCTTCTCTCTTTCCTTTACTTGGCCTCTTCCTCTTGCTAACAACCATACATTCTGTCTTCTTACAATTGATGTTTAGTCCTTTCTTCTCGCTTTCCTTTACTTGGCCTCTTCCTCTTGCTGACAACCATACATTCTGTCTTCTTACAATTGATGTTTAGTCCTTTCTTCTCCCTTTCCTTTACTTGGCCTCTTCCTCTTGCTGACAACCATACATTCTGTCTTCTTACAATTGATGTTTAGTCCTTTCTTCTTGCTTTACTTTACTTGGCCTCTTCCTCTTGCTGACAACCATATATTCTGTCTTCTTACAATTGATGTTTAGTCCTTTCTTCTTGCTTTACTTTATAGGCCTCTTCCACTTGCTGAGAAGCATATGTTCTGACATCTTAAATTTGAAGTTTAATCCTTTCTTCTCGCTTTCCTTTAATGGGCCTCTGCTTCTTGCAGCCAAGTATACAAGCTGCCTTTTTGCAGTTAATGTCTATTACTTTCTTCTCTTTTTCATTTTCTCTGGTTTTTCCTCTTGCCGACGTCTATATATGCTGTATTCTTAAAATTGATGTGTAGTCATTTCTTCTCGCTTTCCTTTTTTTTGGCTTTTCCACTTGCTGACAACTCTCTATTTCCTCTCCTTACATTCGATGTTTAGTCCTTTCTTCTCGCTTCCCTTTGAATCCTGCTGTAGGGGTTTCTCTCGTAATTTTCTGTTTCTTCTATCGACACTGTGACATCTGCGTATGTTATGCTGTTAACATTGTTGTCGACAAATATGAAAACCTGGTTGGACTTTTAATTCTTTCTGGGTCAGCTCACTGTAAAATTTGAGGCCCAATGAGAAGACACCTCCGTATTTTACGTTCTTTTTATTTCGCTGTTTTTAATTAATTCATTCATTCTGAATCCATATGCGAATTGAATTTCCGACGAGACCTCGATATTAATAGGTTCGAATCATTTTCGCTTTCTACATTATCAAATCATATGACACTTGGGTTTTCTCATTACTTTTTACTCTGTAATGCTTCATGAGTTGATGAAGGTTTTTCTCCTGGTCTCTCACTCAATTTTTTTTAAAAGCACAGAGGATTTCCGATGCATTCTAATCTCTATAATTATTCAAGAGGAAAATGTTTTCTTTATGTTACCGGGTCGCATATTATAATGAAATCTGCAATAGAATTCCGTTAAAAAATCTTCTATGAAACGACTTTAATACCTAGATGAACCTGCGACAGGAAGCGATCATTTTACGCATGCACGAAAAGGAACATTATTCAAAAACCTTTTTTCGTATAAGACGCTTCTTAAAATATGAAGAGTTTTAGAAAAAGGTACACACACACATACACACACACACACACTTCAACTGACTGATATATCCACATGCACTGACAAAAAATAGAATTGCTGCACCTTGAAGAATGATACCTGTTTTTAGTGCTAAGTGTAGTTGATGTTGTTATCGATGTTTCCGACTTTGTCCATCTTGTGTTCGTCCCACTACTCTTACACTAATGTAGAAACTGTGTGTGAGCTTTAAAGGCATACCGCGATAAGTTTCATTATAGTGAACGAACACAAAGAATATTTGTTTTACTAATTATTAAAATACTACAAAGCCAAATAAACACGGTATAGGTTAACTGAATGAGGTTGTTATGTGAATGTAACAGGAGAGAGTAAGAAGTAGTGTATCTGAGAATATGTGGGAATGATAATCTCTATCTATAAAAGGCAGGATGTGTGTGTATGTGTAACGAATGCACGGCCGCAATTTTAGACGGATTTGCACCAAAACTTTCATGCTCCAAGTTAGCGTGAAGGCCAAGACCGACTTTGCATTTCCCAACTCCTATCGATAGTGGAAATAATCGATTTTTCATGCATCTACGGCAGTTTTCATGTAGTTTGCGGCCATTTTCTACTGGCCTATAGCTGGCTGCCACGAATAGGCAGGAAGATTATATTGGCCAGCGTGAGAGC